AATTCCTCGAACAAGGCTATGGATACAACACCCCTATGTGATCGCAGTGCCATCTGGTGAGAGCACATTGAAACTGTTGGGAGTCTTCTGCAAAGTTCACCACCAGGGCTCAATAAATGACAGGTGTCAGTATGACATATGCCAGCGCGGACGTTGATGATCAGCCGAGGGAAGAGGATGATCGATTTCATCATCATTATATTCACGGCGAATGAGAACGACCCAAATTTGAGTTTAGTTCACTCATAATCGCCAAAAGTGCAGCAACTCAGCGATGAGTAAATTTGCCTCATGTTTTCCCAGGTTTTTCCAGGGAAAAATTCCTGAATTTTAGAAAAGTAAAGATTGGATTCACACAGTCTATTGGTACTACTCCGAGACTGAATAAAATTTTCGTCAATTTCCTCATTTTCCGGCAGATTTTTTAGGTTTTCCACAGGAAATAAAATTCCGATTGACGTGAAAACATAGGTGGTTTTCGTCCACCCTATTTTTCACGTAACGTTTACCGGAATTGCACGTAGCCGATCAAAATTCAGCTTCAATTATCTACGTGATTAGTCAGGTAAATACTCGGGTAAATAAGACCTGATTTCCACGTACCACGTTTACGTGAAATCGGGGTGAAAACTACTGGATACCTGGTAAGTTTTACGTGACATTCCGTTTTGTTTAAAATACTTTTCATGTAATTTGTTTAATTAGTCGGGGCCTCATAGCCTAGTCAGTAAAGGCACGGTATTACCAAGCCGGAGGCGGCGGGTTCGATTCCCGGTCCGGTCGAGGGAATCTTTCGGGTTGGAATTAATGTAGATAGGACCTATTGAAAAGTGACGCGAGATTTGTTTTCCGTACTGAGCTCCAATGCTACAGATGCCAGGGAGGCAGCTCCCACACCTGGACCCTACCAATCGACCCATCAACTCAACCGGGGACCAACGGCTTCACTTCCCGAAGGAAGGCCTGATCAGAGATGTTATGCCTTAGAACATGCCGATGGCACCGACGGAGATTGAACCCAGGCCTGCTGGGGTGAGAGGTAATCACGCTAACCATCGGCGCCGATATCTTTCAAGGTGATATCACGGCGAATGAGATCGACCCGAATTTGAGTTTAGTTATCTCAGAAATAAGAAATAAAGTGCAGGAACTCAGCGATGAGCAAATTTGCCTCATGTTTTCCCAGGTTTTTCCAAGATTTTCCAGGGAAAAATTCCCGAATTTGAGAAAAGTAAAGATTGGATTCAATCAGTCTCTTGGCACTACTCCGAGACTGAATAAAATTTTCATCACTTTTCTCATTTTCTGGCAGATTTTTTAGGTTTTCCACAGGAAACCATGAGACAAATTTAATCATCGCTGAGTTCCTGCACTTTTGGCGATTATGAGTGAACTAAACACAAATTTGGGTCGTTCTCATTGGCCATGTACGCAAAAGGAAAAGAGACAGTGTTGCTACTTGATAGCAAACTACTCATAATGGGAGGAGTCTTTGTAGTTTTTAAACCACTTGGTTGCACATCATTCTGCTTTAACCTGAAAAGATATAAAAGAGTGCTGCTGTATGGCATTAGCTCATGCGTCCGACGAGTTCCTGTGAGGGGTAAGTTTATTGCCATTGATTCCCACACCCAAATCTTAATTCGCCTGAGAAATGTTCGTAGACGCCAGTTTCAGAGGACTGGAGATCTAGCAAGGAAACGTGAAATGGCCAATCTGAACAAGGAGATTGCTTTCAGAATGGTCTCACTCCGGAACGAAAGTTTCGGGCGGCTTGTCCAGAATCTGGACGACCGCTCCAGACCATTCTGGAAAGTTGCCAAGGTCTTAAAGACGCACCCTAAACCCATTCCACCACTCAAAGATGAAAATAATGACGATCGGCTCATAATCACCCCTCAGGAGAAAGTAAATGCGGTTGGTGAGCATATTGCCAAATCGCACTTGCTTGGCTCCAACATCCAAAGTCCGCTCGAAGTTCAGGTTGAGCAATGCGTACTCAACCTTGATTCCTCCCCTTGTGCCATCCCTCCGGAGGATAGAATCACAGTGGAACAGATTTGCTCAGCGCTGAAATGCACCAAAAACATGAAGGCCCCCGGGTTTGACGGAATATTCAACCTAGTGTTGAAAACTCTCAGAATGAAGGTTCACTCTCTGCTGGCTGCTGTCTTCAACAGATGCTTGGAACTGCACTACTTTCCAAGTATCTGGAAGACAGCGAAAATCATACCTATCCGCAAACCCGGGAAGGACCCAACGCTAGCTTCAAGCTACAGGTCAACCAGCCTCCTTTCAGCGCTGAGCAAATTGTTCGAGAAACTCATTCTCAATCGTTTGCTCAAGTTTGTCGAGGAAAATAACATTCTCCTTCCGGAACAGTTTGGGTTCAGGAAGGGGCACTCCACCAATCACCAGCTAGTGCGGGTGATGAATAACATCCGAAGTAACAAAGCTGTATCCAAGTCCACAGCCATGGCCTTGTTAGACGTTGAGAAAGCGTTTGATAATGTCTGGCACAATGGGCTTGTATACAAGCTCTGTAACTTCAACTTTCCATTACATCTGGTTAAAATCACCCGTAACTACCTCCAGCAAAGGTCGTTTAAGGTATCGTTGAATGGTTGTCTTTCAGACACGTTTTCCATCCCAGCAGGAGTCCCGCAAGGCAGTCTGCTGGGCCCCTTGCTTTACAGCATTTACACTTCCGACATTCCTCCCCTCGGAGACGGTTGCGTGTTCTTTCTGTTCGCAGATGATACCGCAATAGCCGTCAAAGGAAGGATGCCTCGCGAAATAACGAACAAACTTCAACGATGCCTTAACGCCTTTGCTGATTATGCCACCACGTGGAAAATCAAAATCAATGCTTCCAAAACACAAGCGATCATGTTCCTCCATCGGCAATCGCCCAAACTGAAACCGGCTCCATCTTGTACTGCAATCATGGATGGCACAAGGGTTGAGTGGTCTGCCGAAGTAACCTATCTCGGGATGTTGTTGGATGAAAAGCTCCTCTTCCGTGCGCATGTAGAGAAAACTGTAGTTAAGTGTTCTGCCTTGGTTAGGTGTCTGTATCCGCTGATTTGCAGCATATCCCGCCTCTCAAGGGTGAACAAACTGGCTGTCTACAAACAAATAATAGCACCTGCGATCCTCTACGCAGCTCCGGTGTGGGAATCATGTGCACAGGCTCACAGGAAAAAAATCCAGGTCGCTCAGAATAGAGTGCTGAGGATGGCACTTGATCGTCCCTTCGACACTAGAATAACAAATTTACACGAAGAGGCAGGCATTGCCAAAATAGATTACAGAATTAACGAAATTAAGACTAAATTTACACAAAAATGTAATTTATCAGAACATGCTTTGATAAGCAATTTGTATATAGTAGGTTAGGTGTATATAGTAGTTGTAGGTTAGTTGTAGTTGTAAATAGTAGTTATAAGTAGACTCCTTTTTCCAATTCAAATCAAACCAATCCCACCAAGGTGGTCATACTTTAAAATAGGTCTGATATGACTAGGAACAGTAATTAATAATAATTGAAATTTCAAAGGAACTAAAGTTGAAAAGACGCATCTGTGTCACTTGAAAAAATTCATACATGTAAACCACACAAACACAAGAAATAAAGATCATTTAAAGTCAAATGGCATTAGCTCATTTTCGCTTCGTACGGCGTGGTGAACAGCAATAGCAGCAGTAGGAAGCACACCTAACAAGCAACAATTGACTGGTCGTGACAAAGGAGGAAAAGGTCTGATAAACGAGGCGCCAAGCGTCATCGCAAAGTTCTTCGAGATAACCGCCATCGGTCGTCTGGCTCGCCGTGGTGGTGTCAAACGTATCTCCGGTCTGATCTACGAGGTGTGCTCAAGGTGTTCCTGGAAAATGAGGTCCGTGATGCTGTCACCTACACTAAACACGCCAAGCGTAAGTGACCATGGATGTCCTCTTCAATAAAACGGCCCTTTTCAGGGCCATCAAGCTTACATCAGTATAGAGTTGGAATAGAATTTATCTGTGCTTGTTTGTCCATATTCAGAACCACAAGCCCCCAACGACCACATAAAATGCTATCCAGAGTTTTAATTTTGTAACCAAACTTGGAAGCAGGGGTGCAAGTGATTTTGATTGATTCTCTTAATCAAATTTCTCTTTGAAAAATATTACTACAAATTTGGTACGCCTACAATTCAAAAACGGAATGCTCTTCACATTTATTCCGTCCACTAGCGGTCCTACGTCAAGCTTCCGTTCGTGCCCCTAGGCACAGAACCTTCTAATTTTTAAATATCGTTTTGTAGCATTTTAATAGTAGTATAACGTGATATATCAACCTCAGTTTGTTTACACTTGCGACATTCGCCCTTATTCCAGCTCTATCTAGACATGTCGATTTAAAAAATCGATTAATCGGAATGAGAAACCGGTTCAACGAAAATCGGATCCAGATCGCCTATTATTAATATCATAAACACAAACAAACCGATTGGCCTTTGTTATGTTTCTTTCACGCACACTTCTGAAATCACGTTCATGGATTGTATAAATTGTTTTAGGGAGCATGCATTAAGTACGTCACGTGATATTTTGGTAAAATCACTCTTCCCCCTCCCTTTTCGTTACGTTTTTCTTAACCTACTACTTTGCTTGTCACACATTTGTAAACCCCCCTCACCCTTAGAACGTGACGTACTTAATGAATGCTCCCTTAACGGAAAGAAAATGGTCGATTTTTTGTTTAAAATACTGATTACCCTCTCGCCCCTCTCATTACTTTTGAATCACTAACACTCGCGCGTATAGCTATAGGATAAGGCAACTACTTTGCATGAGGTCGCGTCCATTTCTAACGTTCTCATTCTCATCGCCAGTGAAGTGCTATTCTCATTCGTTGGACAATAATTTGATTTGATAAAAGGTACAACCGGCAGGGTATCGTTAGCTAAATAGATTACAATTGCAGTTGTCTGTAATAATTAATTAATTCAACAATGCCGCGCCGTGTTCGTACCGCACCAAAGCGATATGTCCCCGACGGGGATACAGGCAAACCAAAACCGCAGCTGCGAGTTACAAACTCGGAAACGACAAAATCCCAATCGGAGTCACTGGAACTTGACGATGGCCACCAAATCAGGGGCCGGTCGGTCGCGTCATCCCCTATACCTCACGTGCTACGGGAAATTCATCAGCTGCAGTCCACAACAAAGCTTCAGATACCAAAGCTGTCATTTTCCCGACTCATCCGTGAAGTGCTGCTGCAGTACACGGGCTATGGCAAGGACTATCGCATAACGGCCGAGTGCCTGGAATGCCTACAGGAAGCGGCCGAGATCTACATAGTGCAGCTTTTTGAGGATAGCAACCGATGCTGCGCGCATCGCGATCGAGTGATACTGCACCCTAAGGATATGAAGCTAGCTCTTTTTCTGCGGGAGAAATGGCGATAAATGGATGGAATATATATTTTTTTTTCTATTGTGTATAGTTTTCTTTGTGTTGTGACTTTATTGAGATAAACAAAACAAAATTGTAGTAAAATAACTAATGCGTTGTAATAAAGCAACTAGAGAGAGTTTCAAGACATTTTCAATCAAAGAATAAATTTAAAAAAAAAAACCCGTCCATTCTGCGCGTGCGATTCTCCCAGTAATGCAAAGCCTCATATGTATCGCGTTATGTTGTCTGGTCTATTTCCGCACTGTGTCGGATGGCAGTGCCTCGTCGCCATTATGACTGACCAGGAAGCCACAACCGGCGGCGACTCACGGGTCAAATTCCTGGTGAACAGTGAACTCCTCTCGGACATCTCATTCGTCGTGGGCCAGAAAGGTACTGTAATCTACGGGCATCGATTCCCGCTGGCCGCTGCCAGTGATATCTTCTATGGAATGTTCACCGGTAAGCTGGCACCATCGAGTGCCAGTGGGGACCCTATCGCCGTGCCTGACATCGAACCGGATACGTTTTTGGAAATGCTCAAGTTTATCTACTACGATAATCCCACGGTCAGGGAGGACAATTTGGTGGAACTATACTACGCCGCCGTGAAGTACAATCTGAGTGGACTGAAGAATCGGTGTCAGCAGTTTGTTGGTCGGGAAGAGCCGTCTGTGATGAAGATCTTTACGAGCAATGTGAAGCATGGCTTTGAAGAGCTGAATGCGGCTTGTCTACAGACCATTTGTGCCAATCCGTTGGTGATGTTTCGAAGTTCGGATTTTCTGGAACTGCCGCTGGAATTGGTGGAAAAGATTGCCAGTCAGAGCAAACTTCGGTGCAATGACGATCAACTGTTGGATGCCCTGAGGAGATGGAGTATGCATCTGGAAGGTGCAACCCATCAACATGAAGCACTCAAAAAGCTGACGGAAATCGTTGAGCTGCAGCAAGAACTCAACCGGGATTATCAGTGTAGAAAGTGGCTGTTCTTTGGACCGATTTGTTACACGGTGGATCCCTGCAAGGGGACGTTTCATATGACAGCACTGAAGCAAATCGATCTATACGGAGTAGGGATGTACATTGGCTGCCACGAGAACGAAATGCCTGTATCAGTTTCCGTCGGGGTCGTTAGTGGAGACAAGATGATACGACGATGGCAAGCCAATGTTCCGATTCGGGAGGACATCTACGTGTACGACTGCATGTTCGAGAGGGTTTCGCTTCTCGCTAATTCAAAAGTGACAATAGTCTGTGATGGGCCGAGAAAGACGGATGGACCTCTGAAGAAATTTACCTTCTGGAACAGGGGTTTCACGTGGACTGGGGACACCTCAGTTATGAAGCTGGAAGACGACCGAAACTACGAACACACAGCTATCGCATACATTCTCTATCAAACGAAACATTAGAACTAATTTGTGTGTACTTTATTGATAATTTTGAAATAAAAACGCCAAAACATTCCTTACGATCTACCCTTTTCTTCTTGACCCCACGCAGTCCTTGCACTTTCCAGCAGCAAATCACAGGTTCTTCTGAGCAGTGGATCTCCGGCCATGGTTTCCTTTAGCGCTACACAAAGCCTTTGAATGGTTTCCTCATCGAGTGAACTGGCCTTCAAAGTATTGACAATCGTTGCACTGTCAATCGGTTCCGCCATGAAATACAACGTCTCCAGAATCTCCCCTAGCGCCGTCTGTATATCAAACTCGCAGTCATTTTCGTCATTCTCCTCGTCCATCGGTTGCTCTACCTGCTGTACTGAGTTCTGAACGCTCTCTTGCTCCTTGGACAAAACGGTATAGGCGTTCACCATAGTCAGGAACGTTCCGGAGTGGAAGTGATACACAATCGCACTGTAGATACTGTTGATGCAAACGAATATCCTGACGTGTGTCTTGGAAAGTGGTAAAAGACTACCCTCGGTACTCAGCGGAACCAGTACCCGATACACGCAGTACACGATTCTGTCGATTTGGTTCTCGTACAACTCGTTGGCATTGATTATGAAGTTCTCGTGAATTTCCAAAAACTTCTGCATCGTCTTCAGATCTTTGTTTGTCAGAAACTCCTCCTCAAACTGATTGTCAGCCGGCCTTTCCGGGTAGATCTGTTTGAATCCTTCCATCAAACCTTCAATCAGACAAGTTTTGGCGAACATTCTGTAGAAATCGTTCAACTGGGCGTAATCGACCTCCGCCTCCGTGAAACGATTCACCATCGCATGAACCGCCTCCAGTGTATGCTCAATTAACTCTCTGTTCGTCGTACTGCCCAGTATGAATGCCAACTTCTCGGTCATGTCTTCGACCTCGCGAATCACCTTAAACCAACAGTACTGCTCGTCATCCGATCGATCCAGAATGGTCGTAAAAATCCTCATCAACTGTACCAGAATCAACGTGTCGCTCGATTCCAGAAACCCGCACAAACTCAACAGCAGCGACTTGTTTTCGTACAGAAACTTGTGCGTCTCTTCAACGCAGCACATGTTGCCAATAATCCCGAACAGAATCTCCACCAATCGGTTGTCCTGCTGGGAAGCCTCCGCCATGCTCACAAATAGCTCAATCACGTCGTGCTTCAGCAGGAACAGCACCACATCCTGCTCGATTGTCATATCCCACAAACTGCACAGGTCCTTCTCAAAGTCCTCATCCTCCGCCAAGCTACCCTCCAGTTGCGGAAGTTTCAGGATCGTCGTCAGCACAAACCGCTCGCTGTACATCGTTTCACCGATCCTGTCACCTTTCAACTTCTCCAACATCTCGGTGCCAGTTTCCTGTTCCAGATCGGTCGATTGAACTGCTGAGGTCACTGTAGGCTCATCCGTTTCAGCCCGATTCGATGTTTCCGGGCTTTCCATAACTGATTTGCAGGCAAAGTAATATTTTAAACGTTTGTTTTATGCCTTAACTTAAGGTTTATTACAGCTGTACGTTCTAAACAGAAAGCGATGGGATGGATGGGTCGTCGAAATTTTCAAGTAATACACCAAACAAAATTGATACGGAACGCCGATGCGTTTGTAAACAAAATTTAATTAAACATGAAGCTGTCAGATCATGTTGATACAGGTGCGTTGCAAATTCGATCGGTCACTAGCGAAAAGTGCAAGGACTTTTCGGCGAGCTTTTTAGACACGGTAAAAAAAAACATACACTGAATAAAATTGTTATGGTTATTTTGCTTAACGACGTGTTCGGGGTACCATCCAAACCATTTGTGGAATAGTCCTATTATTTGGATTATCATGCGGTTGTGGTTTTTTTTATTGGGGAGTCTTCTTACCACAAACGAAGTGACAGACGACTTACTGGCGAAGAAATCCATTAAAATAATGTGGTTCACTGTAATAGAATTTTCTTGGAAGCTTGTGCCATCATCCACCAGATGGGTTAGTTTTTTTTGTTTTGATTTGAACAAAGTTGATTTTGTGTACAGTGATTCTTTGACAGTGTGCAAAGAGTGCATGTCATTTTGTCATTTTTTTATGCATTTCAGTTTTGAGTAGAGTGAAAGAGATAGAACCAAAACATTCTAGTACATTTGGTGAAAATGCTAGTTCAATCTAGTAGTAGTGTTGCCATGTGGTACAATCCAGTAGTAATGGTGTTGCCATGTGGTACACTGAAAAATTGCAATAGCAGGTTAGTCACCAAAGTTTTCGAGCCGCTCCGTCTGTCACTTCGTTTGTGATCACTACTACACACAAAGAACAAAAATTGTTGCTATAAAAATAATGCATAATCAAATTAAAAGTTTCCCAAAATTCGTAGTTTCAACTATGAAAGTTTTCAAAATTAAACTTATATTTTAGATTTAAAAATGTTTCTTTCACTTTCGACTTGTAATTTTAAAAGTGATTTTTTTTAAATAAAAGTTGTAAAACTGTCAAAATACCTCTTCATTGCGTAGTTTTTGACAGTACTGGACCTCCGTTTCCCGCTAAATTTGACATGGGAAATAAAAAATAAAACAAAACCAGCTGTGAGAACTTGCAGGAGTAGCAGCAGTGTATTCTATTTTTTCATATATTTCACCCGCCGGCACGATAGTTTCCCTTCTTTACGATACGAATAATAATATGGAGGCACCCGCGGGGACACTACCGAGTGGAAGGATACTCCAGTTGCCGGATTTGGAGGTAAGTTGATGAAATTTTTGAAGACTTTCGATCTTGCTTCCGATTTGACTAATTGATGTGTTTTGATCTTCAGCAGCCTCGTCAGACTTGCCGGAAAGGAAAGCTACTCCCATCAACCATCACCATTAAGCAGGAACTTTTCTTCAAGCACGTTCCCACACCGAGCCCATCAGGAAGTAATTATTCAGATATCAACTGTACCATTAGTGTAAAATGCTTCCAATGGAAGATTCCATAATGCAGTGGCCTTTCAGTGATGATTGAAAATTTTAATAAACTAAAATGAATTAAATTAAATATGTATGTGTTTCATTTTTCTAAAGCAATAAATAATATTTGAGATGAAAACGTACACCATTGCGATAAAAATGCCCATCTTTTAAATTAAAACCTTTAATGAGTATATTTAAAAACCATAGGCTATTAGATTGACAGTTCTACAATTCGATTTGAAAATTTCAACTTTTAAAATTAAAGAATGAGCTACTTTTGAATTGACAGTTGGCCGACTTTTGTTTTGAATGCAAAAGACTTTCTACCAAAAAGAACCAACGCAAACTTTTAATTCTATCAATGGTTTTTTTTTTAATTTTATTAACGATAATTTTTTGTGTGTACTGGATTGTACCACATGGCAACACTCCTACTGGATTGTACTAGCATTTCCACCAAATGTATTAGAAAGTTTTGGTTCTATCTCTTTCACTCTACTCTAAACTGAAATGCATAACAAAAATGACAAAATGAGACACTCTTTGCACCACAAACGAAGTGACAGACGGAGCGGCTCGAAAACTTTGGTGACTAACCTGCTATTGCAATTTTTCAGTGTACCACATGGCAACACCACTACTACTGGATTGTACCACATGGCAACACTACTAATAGATTGAACTAGCATTTTCACCAACTGTACTAGAATGTTTTGGTTCTATCTCTTTCACTCTACTCAAAACTGAAATGCATAAAAAAATGACAAAATGATACGCACTTTTTGCACACTGTCAAATAATCATTGTACACAAAATCAACTTTGTTCAAATCAAAACAAAAAAAACTAACCCATCTGGTGGATGATGGCATAAGCTTCCAAGAAAATTCTATTACAGTGAACCACATTATTTAAATGGATTTCTTCGCCAGTTAGTCGTCTGTCACTTCGTTTGTGCTTTGCACACTGTCAAAGATCATATTGCACACAAAACCAACTATGTTCAAATCAAAACAAAAAAACTATCCCATCTGGTGGATGATGGCAAAAGTTTCTAAGAAAATTCTATTACAGCGAACCACATTATTTTAATTGATTTCTTCGCCAGTTAGTCGTCTGTCACTTCGTTTGTGCTAGTACCCCGAATACAACGTATAGTTCGTCTAATTTTACATTGCAAATGCTATGCAACATTAGACATTAAAGCCATACGTTGTATTCGGGGTACTCGTATACATCTTATATTCGTTGTAAGTCACACGAAACGAAAATCAATTAATTTATTCATGTGTTTCACTTATACATTTTTGCCAAAACATCAGCCTTATACATTCCATAAGACGAACCGCATAGATCCTATAAGAATGCATAAAAGGTATGTGTAACCGTTTATACATTTCATTTGACACATGATCTTCATTAACTTTTTGCAAGGCGTCTGCTTATTAGTTGACTTATACATTTTATGAATAATCAGCAATAGAAATTTGCCAAAAGGTATAAGGAGATTTCTATCCGTGCAGGTAACACAGTAGGAGAACATCCAAAATACTACATCTATGAATGTAATCAGCAAAGCTTCTATTCCATATAAAGTTGAACGATATTATAAAACCACAGACAAACAGACGTAACTCTTCATTGTGTATCTTCGTTCATGCATTTAACGGTTGATTTGAATATTATCAGTTCCGCGAACTTCTCGCCGCAGCGCTGGCATCGGATCACTTTGACGTTTCTATATAGTCTATAGAACTTTTATGCAATATTGTTTACGAGTTAGCGAGCAAGCTTGTTTTCCGCGAGAAGCCAGAGAGATGTCGTTACTGAGGTTATATGTTTTGAGATACTATGTTTTCAAGAACAAGTTTTTCAAAGAGTTACGTCTGTTTGTCTGTGATATATCTTTAACTTTTTCACGCAAACGTTCATATAAAGTTCATAACTATTTCATTACAAGTTAAACATGGAAAATAAATCAGTTTTTGGTAGGGTTAAGATATGATTTGTGTTTATCCAGATTTCTCATAAGAAGAATAAAGAAACACATGTTCATGTCTAGTGCCGTGGATATCCCTTCTATTAAACGTAATCGTTTCTATATCACACCTCACTTCTTCTCTCTCAAACCGCTCATTTCGTCCAGCTTTTGTCGCAGTTCAAGCAGTTCCCGATCCGGCACGTACCGTCCGTCGTCCACGTCGCTGCTGTGCTCACTCACCGTGAGCGTAACCCCTTCCGGCAGAGCGGCTTGCAGTACACGCAGAAAAGTGGGATACAGCGGAGCCTGGAGGTTTGCGATTTGAACATTGCGCTCGTAAGTCGTCAGTTTGTATTCGCTCTCGATGACCGCTGAAGCCGGTTTGAACTTCTGCACGTTACGCTTTTGTGGCGGCTGCGCCCAGCACTCGGCAATGTCTAGGTCCATTTTGTCGGCTACGTTGTGCACGAAGCGCTGGTAGCTCTCAAGGATCGGATAATCGTAGCCCTTGATGGTGAAATTCAGCGTATTGTGCAGCGGGTATTTGGGCCGAAGTTTCTGGAATTGAGAGGAAAAATAACAATGGAATTTTTAGTAGTTTGGTGAATGGTATTTGCAGAAACTACAGAAAGACGCCTGCAGGCATTCGAATAATAATTATCATGCACAATCGCAGATGCTCTCTTCGGTTTTGTAGACGATTTCGATATCATCGGAATTGAGTGTGCACGGAGTAAAGTTGAAGATGATACACGCATAGAGGTAACTCTAGGACCGGAAGGTCCCGAAGATATGTGCTCAACTTTTTGGCACAGCTCTGGTACTCTCTTCGGTCCCAAGCTAATCGATGCACCCCTCGAAACATAGGAAAATCTAATAACCCCTCATTTTATCTGTCAAAATTTCATAGCGAATCAAAACAAACATTGTGTAGTACTAGAATTTTGACTAGAATGGGGTGCGTTAATCGTTTGCTTGGGACCAATAGCACAAACGAAGTGACAGACGAAGCGGCTCGAAAACTTTGGTGACTAATACCAACAATCAATACGAAACTAACGATTTTAAATTGGCTCACCACTTTAGTAGCCTATTGGTCCCAAGCAAACGATTAACGTGCCCTATTCTAGTTGAAATTCTATTACTACACTATGTTTGTTTTGATTCGCTATGAAAGTTTGACAGATAACATCAGGGGTGTGTGGATTCATGCAGAACATGCAGGGGTGAGTGAAATAGCTTGGGACTGCTTGGGACCGTTGTTCTGGTACTGAGTGAGCCAAAAATAATAATGATTTTCTTCAGGACCCAGTGGTCTTAGAGTTACCTCTATGCTAATACCAACAATCAATACGAAACTAACGATTTTAAATTGGCTCACCACTTTAGTAGCCTATTGGTCCCAAGCAAACGATTAACGTACCCTATTCTAGTTGAAATTCTATTACTACACTATGTTTGTTTTGATTCGCTATGAAAGTTTGACAGATAACATCAGGGGTGTGTGGATTCATGCAGAACATGCAGGGGTGAGTGAAATAGCTTGGGACTGCTTGGGACCGTTGTTCTGGTACTGAGTGAGCCAAAAATAATAATGATTTTCTTCGGGACCCAGTGGTCTTAGAGTTACCTCTATGCTAATACCTTGTACAGACATACAAAGTTCACTGTTGTACTACCGTTGTACCATAGAGGTAACTCTAAGACCACTGGGTCCCGAAGAAAATCATTATTATTTTTGGCTCACTCAGTACCAGAACAACGGTCCCAAGCAGTCCCAAGCTATTTCACTCACCCCTGCATGTTCTGCATGAATCCACACACCCCTGATGTTATCTGTCAAACTTTCATAGCGAATCAAAACAAACATAGTGTAGTAATAGAATTTCAACTAGAATAGGGTACGTTAATCGTTTGCTTGGGACCAATAGGCTACTAAAGTGGTGAGCCAATTTAAAATCGTTAGTTTCGTATTGATTGTTGGTTGTACTGCTTTAAGCTAGTACCACAAATTGTACGTTTTGAGGTACATGATTAAAGGAGTACAACGGTACTAATTTGTATGTCTGTCTGTGGTATAACTTGCAATTTCAATTTTTCAGTGTACCACATGGCAACATCACTACTACCAACAATCAATACGAAACTAACGATTTTAAATTGGCTCACTACTTGACTAGCCTATTGGTCCCAAGCAAACGATTAACGTACCCTATTCTAGTTGAAATTCTATTACTACACTATGTTTGTTTTGATTCGCTATGAAAGTTTGACTTATCAAAACAACTATAAAAAATGAACTTTCCGGCTGAAAATATCACAGAGGGTTTTGACTCACTCTGTGCGCGAACGTCGTTTACTCAGAAGTGAGTAAAGTGCGCCTACTCACTTTTGAGTAGCCATACTTCCCACTGAAATGAGCATGCTAGACTCAATTTGAGTTGTTGCGAGTTACCTTGAATACTCGCGTATATATAATGGACAGGAATGGACTATACTAATTAATAAGTGAACCCGGTTTTACTCATTTAGGCTCTGAACCATTTGGTGGATTATTTTAACTTTTGGTTAAAATTTGACAGATGAAAAGTTATCGATTAACCCTGCTATCCGAGCATGGTTATTTCTGACAGACAAGAAGTTAAATTTTGACAACCGTGGCTCGAAAACCGGTCGATCGACAGCACGGGGATTTTCGAACATAGAAAATAACTTTCGAAATGTCACTTTTAACCACGAGTTAAATTTAACTCGGCAAATGGTTCACAGCCTTAATGAATGAAGACACTTTTCTTCAAAATGGGTAATTTTTCAATAATTAATGGGTACTTTCAAGTTAGCGTGAAACCTGTTTTCACCAGCAAAATTTGAAACTGCATCATCAAGCCTTTTTTTTCAAGATGGCTAGAAAAGGCTAAGTTTTGATAAATTTTCTCTGGTTTGGTCTACACATTTGAAACGCTTTCAAATTCAGTTTGTGAATTCTTTTGGCGCCATAGCTCTGAAGTTTTTTTTTGTCACTGTTTGAATGGATCAATACTAACTGCAATATTTGGTTAAATTGTTTGATTGGAGCCGAAAATGACTCGTCCTTCAGGTAAAAAACCTACTCGCAACCCGAGAGGACTAGGTGCGACAAGAGCGGGACAAGCTGCGGAAGATCAAGAATTCGTACCTACGGCACCCACCGGTAGGAACAGCACAGCTCGGCGACGTTCTGCATCGGAAACAAGGGAATCCCGTACGTCAACCCGATCTGCACAGGACCGTCGAAGCAATTCCGAACCCCGAGGCGTGCTCCACGAAATCTACCGGTTGCAAAATTCTGTTGGATTGTTGATCCCTAAGCTGCCGTTTGCACGAGTAATCCGCGAGGTATTGCAGCAATATAGTGGGCAAAACATGCGCATCACACCGGAATGCTTGATGGCCATGCAAGAGGCTTCGGAAATATTTCTTGTGCATTTATTCGAGGATTCCCATCTTTGCACTCTGCACCGACAAAGGGTCACGGTGACGAAAAAGGATATGCAGTTGGCGTTGGCTCTCCGGAAGCCGGTGTAGGACTTACCTCCAAGTAATCGGGCTCATACATGCTGCTGAAGTGGCGGACAACGTTGCCGGTGGCCAAAAAGCGATGGGTTATCTTCAAAGGGGGGAATATTGAACGAAGCGGGTGCACCGAGAACGAAACAAAATATTTTTAGTTAACTGCATTGTTATTTCAGATGTTCATGGCCGACTTACCTGCCGAAGCATATTTTTTCTTTTATTTTAATGTTTTTTGCTGGATTATTTACTCTTTTTTAAGTTACACTGAACTTTGCAGCACATCTCTAATGTTTGTTACCGTAAAATTGCTGTCAAAACGTCATTTGAGGTTATGTTAATTGTTTATGTAACATATATGCACAGTGGGTGAACGTTGCTTACAAAATGCGCAGATTTGAATTTTAATGCGATTTAATTTTAATTAATATGACCGAATAAATGTAACAAATAACAACACAATGAAATTAGTCCTGTTGATTGAAAGTCTATAATTTATTATCACTCTCCCATTCAAACGAAAGCCTTACATAAAGCAAGGGTATGATCCACCCCGCAGCTGATTTTCAGCACCCGGGCGCTGACGGCCACCTTGAGGGGAAAGAATTGATCCTGCTTGTGGCCGAATCCTAGACAACCGTACCGATTGTGGCCCCACATATACAGATCGTCCTGATCGTTGATTGCTCCGCAGTGTGTTAGTCCAGCTGATATGGCCCGAACCCGTACGTTGGGATTGAAATCATTCCGCCCAAACAGAGTGGCCGGGATCTGCGTTGGTCGCGGTTGATGACCCACCTCGGGACCGAAGCCTAAGATGCCATAGCCCCAGGCGAACACGTCGCCATTTTCTGAAACGATTGGAATGTCCCCTGATCTTCAATTTTGGCAATTATATCAAACGTACCGTTCAGTGCCAGACAGAAGGAACCTCCAGCAGCGATGTCCGTAATTTTGCCACACTCCTTCAGGAAGTCCAAATGAAGTGGAAAATTTATTTGAGGATTATCGTCTGAATCCGTAGCCAACTGACCGTATTCTGTGTTACCCCAACCAAAGACTTCTCCCTTATCTGTTAATATACAACACTATTTCGATTATATCGGTAACAACCGTCTATCCATCAAACTAACCGTTCAACGCCAACACCGTATCGGACGTTCCAGTAACTTTGCAGATTTTCTCCCCCTTCAGATCTCCTTCAACCGACGAAGGCGTGCTCACTAGGCCAAATGTTCCCTGTCCGGTTTGACCGTCATCGCTCCATCCACAGGAATACAAACGTCCCGATTCCGTCAGAAAGAAGCTGTGATCCTGACCGCAGTCTACCTCCACGACCGGATCGTCTTGCCTACCACCGAGGTCCTTTATCCTATTGATCACAGGCGCGTTTAAATAATCCTCATCTTTGACAATGTCCCTTCCACATTGCCCATAGGCGTTATTTCCAAAAGCATAAACTACTCCTTCCTTCCCCAGTGCCAGGTGGTGTGCCCTCCCGGCGGCCACCTTAACAATTTCGACCACCTTCTCGTTGCCTTCCACGGCGGCAAAATCAATCGGTGCCGGGTAAATCAATAGCTCGAACGGTTTCCGGTGCTGTCCACCCAGCTTGTGATACCCGATCTGTGAATCCGTGTTGATTCCCGTTCCCCAGAGGCTCTTCCCATTGCGACATTTGGCGGCGAACACGGAAAAGCCATACCCAGCGGCCACGTCCAGTATGTCTCGGTTTTCGGCGAAATTTAACCGACTCGGATGCTGCACTACATCAGTGTGCGCCTTGGCTTGCTTCTTGAGCGATGTTTGCACCCCGAGGGCACCGGTGGCGGCCAAACCCCATACGTACACTCGAGTGTCGGTCGATTTGGCGATCGGATACTCGTGCACTTGATGGAAAAGAAAATAACAAATTGAGAACAAGAATGCGGTGATTCTGGAGAATGTCCTACCTGGGATCTTTGACTGGTCTTGCCGGAGAACGGATCGCCGCGCGTGAGAAGTGTACTTACAAGCCGGTTGATATCGGACGATTTGTGCGGGAATTCTCAGAACCCGGATCATTATTATTTATAATTAGTTATTCTAGTTACTGTAAAAGCAAGTAAATGCACATTAACTTTTCAAATTGAAGCTATCAAGTTCTTGTTGTGTCGTTCTGCAGAATTCAGTGCCAACTTTTCAAAGGGGCGTAATTGCATTTGTAAACAATGACTTTCGCCTTCGATTTCTCGCGAATGAAAGCTCACTCATGGAAATGAACGACACCAACAGGTAGAGGAATGTTTCCTGTCCCAGCTAGCATTGATAATTTGGAGGGGTGGGCTTTTATTAGCGAGAAATCGACGGCTAAAGCCATTGTTTACAAAAGCAATTACGCCCCTTTGAAATGTTGGCACTGAATTGATGATGCATTAATAACAACAAAATGCAGAACTAAAATCAAAAGGAAACCGATAAGCGTTATTGTGACAGCTGTTTGTTTTCCCTTTCTCCTCTATTTCGTCGTATGGCACAGGTCTGTACGGTAACAGTTGAGCTCTCATTAATGACCTAAAACCTACCCAGTAGGGTAGTTCAAAATCTACTCTCTCTTTCGTTAAGGTGCCCCTAATAAAATTGTTATGGTTATTTTGCTTAAGGTTCAATTTACTTTGATGCTTTTTGGAAAATTTCAAAAGCAGTTTTTTCCGACGCATTATTTCAGATTGCAAAAAGCTCGCACTATTCGATTCCTTTTGATATTTTAGACAAAATGACGCAAGCTTTTTGCGTTCTAAAATAATGCGTCGGAAAAAACTGCTTTTGAAATTTTCCAAAAAGCATCAAAGTAAATTGAACCTTAACGACGTGTTCTGGGTATCTTCCAAACCATTTGTGGAAAAGTTCAATTGTTTGGGTTATCGTTCGTTTATGGTTATTTTTTATTAGGGGCAGCGAAGGTGAAAGGCGAAGTCATTATTTTTTGAAGAATCAGCAGAAAAAGCAGTTTTTTCGTTCAAACCAGAATAACGTTCATGAATGTGTGCTCATTGCATTCTACTTGCCTACCGGTATCACAGTGAACCAGACAATTAACAAATAAAGATAAAGTCACGAACGAGCTGCAATTTTCATTATGAAAAAAAAAGACGCAAGAAATGGATATTTTTTAAGCAAAATAACTTGAAAATTTAAAAGTGATCAACTCCGCATTCGCCTTATAAATTTAACATAATTTGCTTGACAATTTGTCGTTATACTCTCGTTGAAACCAGGAGGTAAGAAACCACAGAGAAAGCGGGATCTATACCATTCAAAGACTTCTCGCCTAACTTTTCAAAAGGTCCTATCTAACATTTCACTCTTTCCGAGAAAAACGAGGTTGAAGATTGACAAAATCTTTTTTGATACTATTTTAAACCAAATCAACTTTTGACATTTTTAAGACCTTTAATAGTAAAATGCGATAGTAAAATTGAAATTGAAATTATAATCTACCCGTTTCATGCATTTTTTTTTCTATGAAAACGTGAAAAATGTTACATAGGACATTTTGCTCTTGTCAAGTGTACATTGGACATGTTATATAGGACGTTTTGTTATAATCACAGTTACATAGGACATTTATGTTTTCAACATTATTTGTTTGTTTTTAAGCATTATGAGTGCATAATTTAAGTTATACGAGTTAAACGAACAATATGAGTATTGGACAATGCATCAACTTTTTTTCAACGGTATATCGCAACACTGCCCACAGATTGCTTTGGTCGATCATGAGCTGCTTTTTATTTGATAACAGTGTTATTTTAGGGGCTGTTCATTAACTACGTAGACAGCTTTTCGGTATTCTTGACCCCCGCCCCCTCCCCATGCGTAGACAATTGTCCATATTAAAATTTTAAAATTTGTATGGGCCGTGGATAATTGTCAACCATACATCTAGTTTTCACTGCAAATCCTATGTATGAGTGCTCATTGCAAGACAGCCTATATTACGTGATATAGGCTGTAATGTGAAACGGGGTATTATCATAGAGGTAACTCTAAGACAAGTAGGTCCCGAAGAAACGTGCTCAACTTTTTGGCTCACCTCTGGTACTATCTTCGGTCCCAAGCTTGTCGAATCACCCCTCGAAACATAGGAAAAACCAATAACCCCTCATTTTATCTGTCAAACTTTCATAGCGAATCAAAACAAACATTGCGTAGTACTAGAATTTCGACTAGAATAGGGTACGTTAATCGTTTGCTTGGGACCAATAGGCTACTAAAGTGGTGAGCCAATTTAAAATCGTTAGTTTCGTATTGATTGTTGGTATTATCATAGAGGTAACTCTAAGACAAGTAGGTCCCGAAGAAACGTGCTCAACTTTTTGGCTCACCTCTGGTACTATCTTCGGTCCCAAGCTTGTCGAATCACCCCTCGAAACATAGGGAAAACCAATAACCCCTCATTTTATCTGTCAAACTTTCATAGCGAATCAAAACAAACATTGCATAGTACTAGAATTTCGACTAGAATAGGGTACGTTAATCGTTTGCTTGGGACCAATAGGCTACTAAAGTGGTAAGCCAATTTAAAATCGTTAGTTTCGTATTGATTGTTGGTATTATGGATTAATAAAATTTAACACAAATATAATGAACACATTTCTAGATAAACAGTAAAATGTCCTATATGCATTGATCGATTCTCTTCCGTTAATAACTCAGCTGTAAAAGCTTTCCCTATTGTGTTTGACGTTTTGGATGCTAGATAAGAACCTCCTTTATCAAACTATTTTGTAAAATTAACGCAAAATCTGTTTGCATTGCAGTGGTTATCAAAACAGATAGTCCATGAAGAGAATCGATCAAAGCAGATAGGACCATTTGAAATGTTCATCGAGATTTAATCATTCTCTCTCTGTCTTCTCTCGCTCTCTCTCGCTCTCTCTCACACTCTCGCTTTCTCGCTCGATCTGTATCGTACTCATACGCTCACTGTATCTAGCACTGCCAAGAATACTGTTTGCGCTAGATCATATTCGTGGGTGTAAGTCCTGCGGCCCGGTCATATCAAAGCAGGATCTAACGTCTCCAGGTAGTTAGAGCAACCGTAACGGTCGTTGTCATTTGCGCGACTATTTTAACAGCGTACAGCGCTCTCATTTTAGTTTAGTCACTCTTCTCCACACCGGTCGCTGCTATCGCGGTTATCAATTTACTCGCCGTAGTCCGTACCGGTAGTGAGCATTTTGATAAGTCTACGAATAGCAACCTTTCTCCCGCGCTGCTATCGCGCTGCTAAATTTGGTAACGCGCTTCTCACCGAGAAGCCGACTGCTATTTTAGTTACTCGTATGGCAACCCCCGATACGGTAGCTGCGCTATGATGAGGGCTGCTAAAATGAGTTTAGCAGCGTACCGTTACGGTTGCTCAGTAGTCATGAAGACAATTCTCCCCTCCGTCGATGCCACTCCGTTCGTTTAACAAACCACTAAACGATTCAAACCCTCGAATGCTGCCTTTTGCACGCGATAATAAAGCGGCGTCTGTGTTCTAAAAAAGAAAATCTCAGCGACATTCACTACCCCTCTCGAGACGCTCCTATCCTACCTTCTTCCAATATTTTGAAGTATACGTTTTTGTCCCGTCCAAACACAGTCAGCTGTTCCGTTTACCACGGTATTCCCGCGTGCAAATCCAGTGTGTGTTGTTCTCTGGGTTGGTCCACGTTCATCCGTATCGCAGCACATTCGGCAGGAGGAGTCTGAAAATTTATTGTTTATTGTTATCCTTTCTCCAATCAACAGCAAACACATCGCATTGGAATCAGCTGTGATAGATGTAGTGGTTGCCAGAAAACTTTATTTTTCACTCAACGTTTTGACAACTATGTTGACACGCTGAAACACCTTCTGACACCCAAAAACACCGAAGAAACACAATAAGCACGGACACAAGGTGGCAGAGTGACTTACCCCCTGGTAGCAACGCATCAGACGGTTGCTATTTCGAATAAACGTCAAAAGTTTGTTTTGCCGGTGTGGAAAACGGTAACTTAAATTATGACTCTGATAGCAACGACCGGTGTGGAGATGAGTGATTAAGCCAAAATGGAAACGCTGTGCGTAAGTAAAATAGTGCCGCAAATGGCAACGACTGGTACGGTTGCTCTAAAGAGTTCAATTTTATTTGCAATTAATAATGTCACAAAACTATGCATAGGAGGCATCACTGCACTGCAAGCCACTTTTTATTGTTGTGTCATAGGATCTATTCTAATGTTTTATGCGTGCAACAAATTACATCGTGATGAAGTTTGATTCTAATGTAACGTTAGGTTCTGTTGTCATTAGATGTATTCTGATGTTTTATGCGTGCAACAAATTACATCGTGATGAAGTTTGATTCTACACAGCAAAAAAAAAAATGTAATATCGATCAATGTAATTCAAGCTGATGTATGAAATAATGATGTAGGGTATACGTCCCTAACCTCGGTCTAATATGCAGCCATCGATTACGTTTTTAATCATAACTCATCAATTAATTTACCTGCAAACGATATTCTACTGCTAAATGGTATGCTTAGATATGCTTATTATGTCGTTTGCTACCAGAAACCACGAAAAGTTGAAAAACTTACTTTTTTTGAGACAATAACTCACCAGGGAAATGTATGTAATGTGGGAAGATCGAGTAGCCCCTCGGTGTAACTTGCGAAAAATTCAGTTCTCACCCAACCGTTACACAAAGTGTCTCGCGTGTGCGCGTTGTATTAATTAATTTGATAATAAAGTTACTTTTTCCGATATTCTCTCAACTCTAAACCCTTCCGTCTTACATGGGGGCTCGTCCGGGAAGGAGAGTTGTTGAGACAGTGAACGCGATGTGATTTAATTTCGCTTAAATTAATCACAAGAAGTACGACGCAAATCGCATTCAAGATGGCGGAACAAATAGACCTATTATGTGAGACGTTCACGAAGGTCGGAATCATGCGAGAGTGCGAAAAACGAGGATTGCCGAGCACCGGCAATAAAAAGGCTATGGCGAAGCGGATCATCGATCATGACGCGACGATGACTGCTATCGAGGAAGAAAAGGCAGACGATGATGGTGTTCGTGTCACCAAAGGCGAGGTGAAGGACAACAGCCAACATGACGATG